GAAAGCGCATTGAGGGAGGGAAGGAGCGGGGATCCCTCACGGGGGGGGGGGCGGGAATCAGAGGGGATCTCTCACAAACGGCGGGAAAAAGGGGATCGCTCACAGACGGCGGGAAGGAGAAGGGGATCCCTCACAGACGGCGGGAAGGAGAAGGGGCTCACTCAGGGAAGGAGGGAAGGAGAAGGGGGTCCCCTCATAGACAGCGGGAACGGCGGTCTCGGCGATGGCGCTGCCACAAGCGCTGCCCCCTCATCGTCCGCCCCGCCGCCACCTCCCCGCAGCCCGGCCCGGCCCGGCCCGGGAGTGCCCGCCCCGGCCCCGGCACCCACCGCCGAGCCAGTTGGAGGAGATGTTCTGCAGCATGGTGAAGGGGACGCAGAAGAAGGCGATGAGGAGGTCGCTGAGCGCCAGGGAGCAGATGAAGATGTTGGTGACGGTCCTCATGGCTTTGCTGCGGGTCACCACGTAGAGCACCAGGCAGTTGCCGAAGAGCACCAGGGCGAAGATGAGCACACAGATGAGGACGAAGGCCACCTTGGTGCCACCCGGCAGCTCCGGGATGTACACCAGCGGCTGCAGCCCGTAGAGGGTGATGAACTGCTCCCGCGTCACGTTGTTGTCCCGCAGGAGCTGCGCGAACTGCTCCGGGGTGATGTTCAGGGACCGCATCGCGCCCGCTCGGGGACCGACTCCCTCCTCAGCCGCCTCAGCGCCGCCGCCCGCGCCTCGCCATCGTCGAACCGCCGCCCGCCGGCGCTCAGCCTGCCCGAACCCGGCGGTGTGCAGCGGAGGTAGGGGCGCGCAAAGCCGGGATCAGCCTGCGGGCGATGGGGCGGCGGCACCGCCGCGGCCACAAACTTCGAGCGGCGCCGCCCGCGGCCACGGCCAGGGCGGGCGGGAGGGGGGCGCCAGCCAATCAGCGCCGAGCGCGCGCCTGCCTCGGCCCCGCCGCCGCACAGCGGGACGGGCGCGAGGCTGTTCCGCGCGTGAGGGAGCGCGCGGGGACCCCCTCACAGAGCTGGGACCCCCTTCCAGACCGAAGGCGCCGGGACCTGCTTCTGGTCTTGGAGAAATCCTCGACCGTATCCGACTTAGGCCCTCGTCCGGTCTTGGGCCGCCA